CACACTAGAGCCAATTTCAAAAGTAATTATGTTTACGGCCAGCATGTGTAAAATCGGCTTTGGGAAGATAGAGAAACACGGAGGGAAACTTTTAGGCAATTAAAAGTAAGGTTTCTACTGTTAATTGAAGTTTCTTCAAATGAACAAAAAATAAAAAATAAATCACCCTTTGTCTTCTGTTTCTTTAATTTATTGTTTTATCTTGTCAAAATTGCTAAAAATGCAAATTTGTCATTAGCTGTTTTTTTCTCAGGCTGGAAAATTTGCATCGGCAATAAAACGGCAACACGGTTTCCAGTTTTTAGATTTAGGTTGTTACATTTTTTAAAGGGACACTATGCAACATTTTTCAGTTAATTAATGTGTTCCATAACGTTATGGATGATTAAATGAGTCATTTCAGGTTGAACAAAGGTATTCTCGGCCGCCCTGGTGGTCTGTGGGGGAAATACTGCACTTGCAATTGCAGGAGCACCGACCCGCATCCACAGGCTCAGAAGTCTCGTGAGAGTCAGTCTTGCTTTACGGCAAGAACTGCTACACCCCCCAGTTAAAAGCATTCTCGTTGCTAGCACAGTGGCGATCTTTGTGCAGTTATGCTACGTTCACGCAGCAAAAGCCGCAAAATCGCGTCTGCTGCTTCCTTTTTGCTGCTTGTACCAGTTAGTTCTGACGCGTGGCTGAAGCAGCTTTGCTGCTCTGGCTGTGCGGTGCAAAAGTGTGTCTGAGGCGCATTGGGCGGAGCTTCACTATCCTTTCTCTGCCTTGCAGCTATATTTGCTGTGATCAGTGGGAATAAAGTAGTTTTAATATGTGTTTAAGTGAGAAAATACACCTGAAAACGTAATCAGTGCAGTCAGTTCATTCAGATTATTATCCTGCCTTCAATATTTTTTCTGTCGGAGCCGCTCAGACCCCCACATACCAGCGGGGCGCCAACAGTATGGATCCCTTCATCAGCAGCGGTTCACCGCGGCAGCTGGTAGGTGTTTTTCATCTAAATAATCCAAACTGCATATTCTGCCGGCAGATTTCTGCATTTTAAGTTAATTTAGGCGTCAATAAACTGTTTAAGAGGAGAGATCATCAGCGCTGTGTCTCTCTCCCTGCGTTAAACGCACCCGACGCGCTGCTTCAGCTGCTCAGACGTGCTGCGCCTGGTGCTCAAAACGCGCCGCGGGACCTTTTGTTGCGCCTTGACGCGCGTCAACCATTGACTTTGCATGTAAACTCGCTGCTTCTGTCGCGCCAGCTACGTCCAGTGTGAACGCAGCGTCATTCGCTGCTAAGCTCAAAACAACCGCGCCTGGCTTGACGGAGAAACCAGGAGAACAGCTGTGCATATTTACGACAGTGCACTTTTACTTTCGCCCTCTGGAGGGAGCCTCACTGGAAAATCAACACCGGTTGCATAGTGTACCTTTAAAGGATAAGACACTGACTTTCTCCCTCCAGTCCTTTAGGTGGCAGTAATATGCTTAAATTAGGTTTGCCAATTTAAGTGTTTCTTAGAATGTAAATAGCTCGTGGCTCCTGAGCTGATGAACTAGGCATGAAAGTTACTAATTAATGCTTTAATCTAACGTTGATTGATTATATCAATCAATTTACAACTAATTTCTCTCTCAATATAAGAGGATCTTTACATATGAAGGGCTAAATATTTTATTACAATATGCTGAAATAAAAAAAATAGTAGTAGCATTATTATATTTTTATAATTTATAGTTCCAGCTTCATTAAATACTTTCAGAATAGAAAGAAAAAAAGTATTCCACATTATTAAAGTCATAGATAAGCGGCTGTTCCAACCGTTGCATTTCTCCCGAGTGGTGCACTTATAAACGACACTGTCAAAGAACGCTATGGACAGAGGAAACATGCAAGAGGAGGAGAGTTTTGTGTCGGAGGTCATGGATGAGTCTCCTCCGTCAGACATTTTTTATTTAGAGGAGGAAAGCGGGGACGAAGATGTTGTGGAAGAGGACGCCAGGGCGGCAGAAGCTTGGTTTGGTGTAGAAGACTGTGATCAGTTGGTAAAAAGTTGTTTTAATATGTTTTTCAGTGAAAAAGTCCACCTGAAAACTTCATCTGTGCAGTCAGTTCATCCATGTTACCATCCTGCCTTCAAATATTATTTCTCTGTCGGAGTCGCTTAGACCCCCACATACCGGCGATGCGCTATCACTGGGAATCCCATTCAATAGCAGCCTCTGGCCAGGTCGCCTCTTTGCGGTTTGCTGCGGCAGATGGAAGGCATTTTTCATATAGATAATCCATACTGCTGGCACCAGGATAATAAAAGCGAAAAAGTTTTGCCGGTAGATTTCAGCATTTTACGTTAATTTAGACGTTAATAAACTGTTTCAGAGGAGTGATCATAGCGCTCTGCATCATCAGTGCTGCCTGTCTCCCTGCCAGCTCCCAGATCAGCTTCTCTGATTGGTTAATGTGGCACGTCGAGCAGCAAAAGTTCAATCATTCAAACTCCAGCAGTTTCTGCATTTGCAGCGTGTTCCGTGTGTCAGATGCTAAAACGCTCCCGACACTGCTTCAGCTGCTCAGACGTTCTGCGCCTGCTGCTCAAAACGAGCTGTAGGACGTTTTGCTGCGCTTTGATGCGCGTTAACCATTGACTTTGCAAACTAGCTGCTTCTGCTGCCTTTGCTGCTTGCGGTCTGAACGTAGCATAGGTCCTCGACGCGGCCAACTCGGGTTCGAATCTGACCTGTGGTCCTTTGCCACATGTCTCTCCCCCTTCCTCATAACCTCTTCTCTGTCAGCCTACTGTCTAGTGCCAATTTAAGTTTATTTTAATTTAAATATCAGACATCAGACCATTCATTTCGCCAATATAATCCACCAATATATAAGGCTATTATTATGTTGCAAAATGGTGAGGATTATGCCATGCCTTGAATCTGTCACAGAACTGATAGTGGAGTAAAATGTCAGTGGCACTACATAATATCTGTAAGAAGGTCTAAGATAAAAAAAAAAAAAAAAAGAGAGAGATCAGCCATTTGAATAATATCGGCAAATCAGATATCGGATATAATTCCGATATCATGCATCACTAGTATTAATGTTCACATGTTTATCCTAAAGACAGCTCATTTCTAAAACATTCTGCCTAGGAGATTAAATTGGTAAGAATTTGGTAATACGATACGCAACATGATAGGATTTACCGCAATATATCCTGATACACTTAAAAAGGTGATCTATTTGGATTTTCTATAATAATATAGCTCTGGAAAACCTCATGAGTCTGTGTTGCTCTGCTGCGATCATGCAGAGCAGCAGAATAATGGGCACTTAGGCGTTGCATTGCCACCTAGTGGCTGGAGGTTTAATGGTTATATAAAAGTAAGACAATTAAATGCATGTTTACATATTAATATTTTTTAAATTTAAGAATAATTTGGCCATATTATAAATCAATACTATCGTGTTATTGGTAATTTCTATTTAATTCTGCATATAAGATGTTGTTCGTACAGTTAATACATATAAATACAGATCCCATATACGTTTAAAAGTAAGCGAGTTCTGTGTTTCTCTGTAAAATTTGCAGATATAGCAAACTACATCAACCAATCATGCAGCACAACTGCAGGCTACGACGAATTGATGGCAGTTTCTGCCAAACGTACAATAAAAGGATCATCTTTAAATCCCTCCAGACAGGACTTCCTACATTTCAACAGATCAATGCAGCTTCTGCCTCTCCATTCTTTATACTCTCTCCCTGACTTGTCTTCACATGTTTATAGGTTTAAAAGGTGCCGTTTCTACGGAAGGGCATTAGGGTCACTGGGGAATAAATTAAAAAAGTTAACTGATTCTAATTTAATTTTAGTCTGAGAATTCTGACTTTTTTCCTATATCAAACTCAGATAAAAAAAAAAAAAAACTGATTACTTTTTTTCTTTTTTTTTTCCAATGGCCTTAATCTTCTTCTGTAGAAAAAGTCAGAATTCTAACTCTAATCTCTCATTCTTATTAAAAATAAAGTCAAACTTCTAGGGAAAAAAACTCAGAATTCTGAGATTAAAGTCAGAATTCTGAAAAAATAAATCTGAATTCAGAGAAAATAAATCTGAATTCTGAGATTTAAGTCAGACTTCTGAGACAAAGCTCAGATTCCTGAAATCAAAGTCTGAATTCTGAGGAGAAAAAAACAGAATTTAGAGCAAAAAGTCAGATAGTCAGTCATTTTTCCCCCCTCATCAAACTCAAAAAAAGACAAAATCAGTTAACTTTTTTTTTCCCTAATCCTCTTCTGTACATTTTTTCTTTAATGCTCTCCAAAAGAAAAAGAAAAAAATAGCACTCAGGACCTCACAGAACACCTGTATTTATACCTAGAAAAAAACATTACAAACATAGACGCTGATAAGATAACTTCTGAACACTGGTTGCTCTAGATGTTACAAAGACAAAAAAAGAGAATTAAATAAAAAAACAACACTTTGTGGCATTATTTAAAAATGACAACAACTGCTTTCTATTGATGAACATTGGACCTATACTCTAGGTTAGTCACAGCAGACTACAGCCATAATGTGTAAAACATGCATAGTGCTAAATGTTTTAGGACCATAATTGTGCTGTTTCATGACATCACATCACATTTTCCCTCCCAAAATGAACAGATTTGAGTAAACTTCAGCAGCAGGAGGTTTATGCATTATATGCTGACAGCTTAGTGATTTGCAACCAGTGGGAAAAGCTGTGATTTTTCCATTAGAGAATCAGTTCAGCCTGATAACTGAATGATTAACTCCATGTAATGAATAACACAGGGATGGTGCATCAGGCTGCCCTGCAAGCAATGTTTGGATGTCATTGTTAAAAGCTATGAAGGACCACTACCTCACCACTGCTCACTAATGAGCTGGAAAGTCTGATTATTCACACTCAGCTCCAGAAGTGACACTTTAAACTGCCAGGAAATAGTAAACAGACTCCAGGAGGTTTAAGCTCCTTCTACTCACGTTCCCAGGACTTCTTTGAAATCAAAGATCTTCTTGATGTCATCGACCTGTTTCTTCCACGTCTCTCCGCTGCCGCCGGTGTCTCCGTTCTCCCGGGCCATGACGCTTTTCCACCGGGGCCCCAAGTCTGGCTGAGACCGCAGGAAAGGCTTTTATTTCCGATAAAGACACAGCAATAGAATATAAAAAAAATAGAACATGTAAAAAGGAAAAAAGGAGGGATAAGTTGGGTGTTAGAGGAGGTGGACCGCTCCGGTGCTGAATGATCCGCTGCAGCAGGACCATGTGAGCCCTACTGCAGGTTCCCCCTGTCCCTGCTCATCCCTCCCTCCCTCAGCTGTCAGGTTCACCATCACATAAAGACGCTTCCGGAAGCTCTTTCAAAATAAAAGCTTGCTGCTCCACCAACCACAAACGAAAAATATCATTAAACAAATACTGAAAAGCAGCATTAATTATTTATACCTAAAATAATGACACCCAGTGATTACTCTCCCATGAATCCATCTATTTAAATTAGGAGTGTGAGAAAAAAAAAAAAAAATTCTATTAAGCGATGGCGTAAATGGCCCCTGTCCTCTTAGGGGCCCCATCACTGACACCTGATAGGCCCCCACACAATTGAAGATAGGACGTTTCTTTGCAGATGTAATGATGCATAAAAACATTTTAAACCCACCTGATACTGAAGTGACTGACTGCACCGGACCATATTTATACCCCAACACATGGCAGATTTCACCATGATGGTGAGCCGTTTAAACACGACACCAATAGCAAAGCAGACAGTGGTACTTTTAATTACTATGTTAATAACTGTTTATAGTTCATTAGACGGTTGGTAAAAAAATACACTCATATTATGTTTCAAACCACAATAAAGATCTTAAAAGAATGATATATTTGAGTATTTTATTTTTTTACACTACGGCTTGGAATTATGGGTAATCCAGAGCGTAGATTGAAACCATAACCACTACGTACAATGTGTTAGCGACAACAGATACCAAAAAGAGGTACTTAAGCAGATTCCAAAAAAGAAAAAGGAAAAAAGAGCTTCTGGAAGAACGGAAAAAACTTCCCAAAATAAACAAATTTTTTTACGGAACCGAAGAGGGAGAGGTGGACGTTGCTGATGTTCTAAATATGCAAGGTGGTGTTTTTGTGTAATGCGAATGAGAGCGTGCAGACAGTACAATAATGAATGCATCTTGTGCGGATTAGAACTTCTGCGATTGCGCAGGCACTGGTCGGGGGAGGTATCGTCATTGCCAATTTATGGAACTGTTGCCGTATCCTGAACCTTTATCACGTGTTGTACTGCATATGGGGCCCATCCAGATAATGTTGCTTATTGTTGTGTTGTTACGCCATTGGTGTTAAGTATCATGCAATATATCGTCTTTTTCAAAATCCTATAGTTACACATGTATTGTGATATAAATCATATCGCCATTTGTTTGCCAATTTACACCCCTAGTCAGATTTACGTGTGTACATTAATACTAGTGATGCAAGACATTGGAATTTTTTTATCTGATACCCGATTTGCCGATATTTTCCAAATAGCAGATGAATGAAAATGATCTCTTTTTTATCTTGACCTTCTTACAGACATTGTGTAGTACCACCAGCAATTTTACTCCACTATCTCTTCTGTGACAGATTCATGGGGCGGCTGGCAGCTGGACAGGATTTTCGCTCTGCCATAAAACAACTGGGACACACCGAACAGACCTTCACACACAGATACTCACATCTAAGGGCCATTTAAAGAAAGCATTTAACCAAACTCCAATGTTTTCAGAATGTGAGAGGAAGCTGGAGTACCTGGTGAGAACCTACATGATCACTGAGAGAATCCACTGCACCTTTGCAGAGTCCTACCCTACCAATTAATAAGTGCTCTGATTATGTTACGGTGGGATTAGTTGCATCATGCTTTCAATGTTTTAACTTAATTTTTAACTGCTGGCTAACTCACAAGTATATGGATTTAATTTCTTTCCATTATTGTTGCAAGTAGAAAACCCTTTTAGAATGTAATGGACATTTGGGGGTAGAAAAGTACATTTTAATCAATAAAAAGTTTGAAGATAAACTTTTCTTTGAGATTATTTTTTTAAACATTAATTTTTTTTTTACAATTTATTTATAACTATTTTACAACTTTTTATAACTACTTTTTTACTGTTCTTTCCAAATATGTCCATAGAGATTTTATATTTTATCAATTTTTTTTATATATTTAAAAAACAGTATTTGTTTTACAAACAACATTTTAATTGTCAAATGTGAGCCCTGTTGAATGGGTTTTGCAGTGAAGAAAATGTGCTAGGTGAAATATAATATTAAAAGAACGCAATTTGTAAAACAATCGGTCTGTCTGTCTGTGTCTGAATGTAACCTTCTATTGGGTGATATTTCATATCTTATTTTGAAAATATCTTCTCAGCACTTCCTACATAAAGCAACTTCAATGTGTAACTTTATGGAAATTTTAATTCCACCTGCAAGTGTCTAAATGCAGTTAATTGATGCCCATCCGGCTGCTGGATGGGCTCCCTGCCCTCCAGGAAAGTCTTTCTATGTTCTTCCTCATCTCTGTTGATAACAACCACCCTCCAAATACATTGAAGAAAGGGGTGATTGCAGCTGTGCACATTGTCCTGATAGTAAAAAAGCAGCTGATGGGATGCTGCCCTTGCTTACCGACTGACAGATGTGTGTGTGTATGTGTATGGGGGCATTCGCAATGCACCAATTTGCTGACAACAAACGTCATGCGTCCATATCATTCTAGTGCAATCCCCAAAGGCTTTTGGGTGTCTCTGCTAAGCCCCCTCCCCCAGAGCTCATCAGGGAGCCCAGCTGCAGCAGCTGCACGCTCACCTGGATTACCAAAAACATGAGGTTAAAGAGAGGCATATTTAGCCCCAGCTCTGCGACAGCTGCAAAGTGGAGAAGGGAGGGCGGGGGGGGGCTTAGGCCAGCTGAGGTCAAGCACAGCTAAAGCATTCGGTCTAGACGAGGCTTTTGGCCTCAGTATGTCTCTATTTGTATGGAATGCTCTAAGAAAACCCAAAAACAGGAAGAGGGGGGGAGGGCAATGTGTTGCAACTCCTCATGAGTATTCCGGCTGCAAGCTACTGCAGCTCTTCCTCAGCAGCAGCCTTGGAAAACTCCTCTCGCTCAGCCCCCCCTCTCCCATCCATCCCTCTCTCCTACTCATCCTAATCCTTTACTCTGAGTCAGCAGCTCTCATCTCGCCTCCGATGAAAGATGATTACCAAGCTGCAGAGGAAAGAGGAGAGGAGGGCATCAGGGATGGGGTAGATCCAAGCTGAAGGTCAAGGAAGACCAAGGGTTAAACAGAAAACTTACTAACATTAACACTGAATTATACTTACTGTTATGACATTTTATTCACATTCATCAGCATGAAAGTAACGCTCATTAAAATGTTTAGAGTGTACTAGCTGAGCCAAAATGTGTAGTCTGTGAAGTCCACAGAGCCTCACTTCAACAGCTTCAAGTCAGGTGTCATCTGCATACAGGATGTGGATTGGTGCTGATGCATTCCTGGAGTTCATTACTCGGTTTTATCTCCAAGATAAAGAAAAGCGTAAATATATAAAAAGTAAAAGCATTCCAATGAGCTGTGTTCCACACTGGGAGGCGAAGAACAGCAAGAGTCTGTTTTTATGACAAGAGTTAAGGTCAAAACACAAGAATTTCAATTCTTCCTGGGGTTACCCTCTTTAAATCCTGAAAGGGATGTCAATCATTGACACCTCAGATAGAATGGACGTCTCTTTCATCATCAACGCATTTGTGGCTTAAAGAGATCTGGATGATTACTGCCACCAATTTTAGCTGCAGACCTGCACTGTAAGGTCTCCTGCGCTGTCAGAACCAGAAGTTTATTCAAAGCCTATCAATGTAAAAGTGAAATAAAACAAAAGCTTGTATACCGGAAATATTTTACGTTCCGGTGTTTATTTCTTGGGTCTTCATAACAGAAACATTTTTGTCTATTCATGTGTTTAATAGGTTATATTTATAATCTCTTTCCAGTTTAACTGGAAAAGGTTAATATTTGCAATAAAATGTGAAATTTACATAATTAACTAATTAAATTTTTTTATACAGGATGTGTGTTTGCAATTATTATATTAAATTATTATTATTATATTAAATATTCTTTATTATTCTATGTTTGTGCAGGAGAAAACAGTAGACACAAAACAAACTTTCGAATATCAATTTATTCTATTGTCTTGGAAATGTTTTTGTTGCTGAAACATCAGATATCACAGCATGACGGGTAGCATTTAAATTTTGGCGAAGTACAAAACAATGTCTTCTTCTTCTAATAAAATCAGGAAGCACGTACGTGCTACGCACTATTCCTGAAGGCTTTGAATATAGTGTCCGGAATAAACTTTCAGTCCTGACAGTGCAGGAGACCCCATTGTGCAAGTCTGCAATAAAACATCTTGACAGTCCACACAGTGCAGCTCTGGGTCCTGACAGTGCAGCTCTGGTTCCTGATAGTGCAACTCTGGGTCCTGACAGTGCAACTCTGGGTCCACACAGTGCAGCTCTGGTTCCTGATAGTGCAACTCTGGGTCCTGACAGTGCAACTCTGGGTCCTGACAGTGCAACTCTGGGTCCACACAGTGCAGCTCTGGTTCCTGACAGTGCAACTCTGGTTCCTGACGGTGCAACTCTGGTTCCTGACAGTGCAACTCTGGGTCCTGACAGTGCAACTCTGGGTCCTGACAGTGCAACTCTGGGTCCACACAGTGCAGCTCTGGTTCCTGACAGTGCAACTCTGGTTCCTGATAGTGCAACTCTGGTTCCTGAAAGTGCAACTCTGGTTCCTGACAGTGCAACTCTGGTTCCTGATAGTGTAACTCTGGTTCCTGACAGTGCAACTCTGGGTCCACACAGTGCAGCTTTGGTTCCTGACAGTGCAACTCTGGTTCCTGATAGTGCAACTCTGGGTCCACACAGTGCAGCTCTGGTTCCTGACAGTGCAACTCTGGTTCCTGATAGTGCAACTCTGGTTCCTGACAGTGCAACTCTGGTTGCTGACAGTGCAACTCTGGTTCCTGACAGTGCAACTCTGGGTCCACACAGTGCAGCTCTGGTTCCTGACAGTGCAACTCTGGTTCCTGATAGTGCAACTCTGGGTCCACACAGTGCAGCTCTGGTTCCTGACAGTGCAACTCTGGTTCCTGATAGTGCAACTCTGGTTCCTGACAGTGCAACTCTGGTTCCTGACAGTGCAACTCTGG